ATGACGTCAGTAATAGATGTAAGACGAATGTTTTGACTGGTTGAGATAACACGAGATTTATGTCTTGAGTTTCATGAGAGACATCTGAAAGTCAGGTTTTATGTGAAACATGATTGTTCACAGGATTTGTGTGAAATGTGAATTATCACGGGCCAGACACGACTTTCAACAGTGGGAAATTCGTGAGAATGAATCCAGAATATTCGAGAACAGGATAGATCAGAGGGCTATATAATAGCGAAGAAAAGGTTTGTGAGCAGTCTCGTTTTGGACCTAGGAACAGTGTGCATGGACAGCGGTGGATGATGTGTAGATTCAGCAGATGTTTTTGTGAGTGAATTTGTTCCAGTCCAACTTGGCGAAGAAAGCTGGCCAGTAATATGTCTGCGGGTCGTCTGAGTTTGTCGGTCAGGACAGCTGCTGTGTTTCGTTCAAGATGTTAGTGTGATTGTGATTTCTGCTTGAAGGTAATATGTGACACTTGCATTATAATGTGTGCCTGGACAGTTGTCAAGTTCATGTGCCGGCTGTGTAAGCCGCGAGTGGAAGATTAAAGTACTGGAACAGTATCGTGTGTTTTTCCAGTCGTCCATTTTTTCTGCTCGTCGTGTGATGTCGGTTTTGTGAGTTGGCAGCGAGCGTGCGATGAGGCGAGCCAGTAGAAGATAAAAGAGAATCATCGCAAGACCTAACTTACATCTAGTATGGTAAGAGCCCCAAACTCACAGCTAGCACAGTAAGGGACATACCTCACAGCTAGTACGGTAAAGGACCTAACTGTTAATACGGTAAAGGACCTAACTCTGTTAGTACGGTAAGGGACTTAACTCACAGCTAGTACAGTAATAGACCTAACTCACAGCTATTACGGTAATGAAGCTAACTCGCAGCATATACGGTAAGAGACCTTACTCACAGCTAGTACGGTAAGGGACCTAGCTCACAGCTAGTACGGTAGGAGACCTAACTCACAACTAGAATGGTAATTAAGCTAACTCACAGCTAGTACAATAAGGGAACTAACTCACTTACAGCTAGTATAATAAGGGACCTAACTCACAGCTAGCACGGTAAGGGACCTAACTCACAGCTAGCAAGGTAAGGGACCTAACTCACAGCTAGCACGGTAAGGGACCTAACTCACAGCTAGCACCGTAAGGGTATGAGATGGGCGACTATAAGTATTCCTTATAATCAGCTAGGAGTTTTCAAACTCTAAACAACCCAGTGGTCATTTTCCCCTTGCCGAGGTTATGGGCCCTCTTGTAGCCGTATTTAACGAATAAATCACCGTTAAGCCTTGGGATCACTGAAACAGTATGACTAACTAATTGTCTAGTTTGGCATGTCTCTAAACATTTATGTTCCTTCATACAGGTGTTATCGTCACTGGGATGGGACAGATCCTCTGCTAGTGTGCTAACTATAACTCCCGATCTTCATACTATCTAGAATGTTATCCTATCTCTAGTTATGTCCCCTACACCTATGAGTGGCAGTCGATGTATGAGATTCCCAGTTTTGGGCAAACAGCTTTACGACGTTTGCATGAGCTGGGAAATGTTTGTTTAATCAGTCCCTTGTAGTCAGATTAGTAGTAGTAGTAGTACATTTTACCCCACTAGGACCGCACACAAGCGATAAACACCCGATGATACAAAGTGCCACCATGTGGATGAGGATCACCCGTGGAGAGGTCACGGGAAACCGCGTTCAGCCATTTAGCCATATTCATGGTCTGGCTATATTGCGGCCCCTAGCTAGAGCCATGGTGAGGCTTGAAAAAAAATGCATCCTGCAAGGGGACGATAACATTAAAATGAAGTCGGACTGATTGACTGACTGACTTTCTACCCCACCAGGACATCACACAAGCGATAAACACCCGATGACACAATGTGCCACCATTTGGGTGAGGATCACCGTGGAGAGGCCCCAGAAACCGCGTTTAGCAATTAGATATTTATGGCCAGGCAATATTCCGGCCCCTGGCAAGAGCCAGAGTAGGGCTTCAAAAAAAAAGGATGGAAATTTATTGAATAATGTAGTCGGATTGACTGACTTTCTACAATCAAACAAGCGATAAACACCCGATGACACAGAGTGCCACCATGCGGATGAGGGTCGCCGTGGGGCGGTCCCAGAAACCGCGTTCAGACATTTGGTCATATTTATGGCCTGCCTATATCGCGGCCCCCGGCAAAAGCTAGGGTGGGGCTTCAAATAAAAAATTTCATCCTGAAAAGGACGATAGAAAAAATCATGTAGTCTGACAAATAATCAGCGAGTAATTAATGGAACCACATATCAGGCTTTTGTAGAAATAATTGAAAATTGGAGAACTTATCAGTGTGTTCTGGGTAGTATTCGAAATAAGAACTAACTAGTCTTGATCTTCCCATCTTTCGGACATGGAGTGATCTATTGGTAGTCGTGGATGATTGGTCGGTACAACTCTCATACAGGAGCGAATCTGCAACAGTGATGGGTTTGAGACATCTTTATCATAAAAATTATACGAATACATAAGGGCGAGCAACTGGGTACCCTAATATTTCATATTATACATATTGTTTTCGGAATATAACATGCTTTATTGGTAAAATATAATTGAAATGTGAAAGATGAATATCTAGAATGGGTGCAATATGTGTGACCCTTTGATGGGAAAAACGGCTGCTTCATTTGTTCCGCAAATGTTTCCAACGTAACCCTTATCGTGACAGAAACGTGTAGTTTTGAAAGGTTCAGTGTTTATTTATCACACAGCAAGATTTTCAACTCCTAATGTGTCCAGCATTCAGCTGCAGGATTAATAACGTTTTCAGTGGAAGACAACGTCGATATGGCGCGGTAGCGTAAACGCCTGTCTATCTACAAACTAATTATATGTTTGAATCCACATCGAAGTGATGCTTATTTTAACTTCACGTTAGCCTAGGCCCGTCTCTCTAGCGTAGTTGGCTAAACCGGATTGCGCGGTGAGCGGGTGACGAATTCCTTGTGGTCCGGGTTTACTCCCAGGAGTAGGCAAAAAAAGCCACATTTTCTTCAAGATTTACGGTATTTACTATGGAATCAAGGCCAAAAGGTTGCGATATCGATAATACCGAGCCTAAGAGTTAACAGCTCATGGCTTCTGGATACTAAAACAAACAAATACGTTAGCCTAGCTTTTGCTATTAGCTGAGATGCGAAACGAAGATTAAAAGTTAACTGTAGTGTGTACCTCACATCGCACTCAACCAAACATGGCTCACTGTGTATCAATGGATCTGTCTATGAAGTCGTATACACAACCAGGAAATACTCACATTGTCTGGTTGTCCGTGAGTCTCTTGTAGCTGCTGTAATAGAAGCCACGCTCGATGTCCGAGAGTGGCGAGGTAAAACTCATCTCAATCCAGTATTGTATCCCAACCTGGAGAGCAGTGACGTAGGATAAACTAAACACAACCTTAGTAACATATTAAGGAATCGCTATCGTAGTCATTCTGTAAGTGTAACTTTTCAGCGATTCCTGTTTTGTTCTATTATCTGTTATTTATCTTATCTCATCTTGACCCTCCGGTATTTAGCGGTGTGGAGGAGAAGTATAATTACTAGGAATGTTCTTCGTTAGGCCGCATTTGTCTCTTCCTATTGCTATTAAATTTAAAAACACGATTTTGTTCTCTATGAGTAGCGGCTGCCGGAACGGTTAGAATGTTGGGCTGTGAAGCATGAGACCCAGGTTCGAATTCTCGGTAAGGCTGGGGATTTTTTTTTTTTTTCAGGGGCAAAAAAATTCCCTACCTGCACAGTCGTGGCGACAGCACTAGACATGCGGTTGTAATGCCTCATGCTCAAACACTGCAAAACTGGTTTTAAAGAAGGGCAGTAATTGACAGTTTTCTTTTCTTTTTTCAGTTGGTTCTTAAACTCTTTGAGTCCCAAGGAACGCATCATACGTTCATAGGTTACTGCCTAAAAGCCCAATAAACGCATGATGCGCCGATTTTAGTTTCTTTTGACAACCCCGTGGGTCTGTGATGCTAAAACCTCTGGGACTCAAAGAGTTAATATAAGTATATAGTTTATCTGTCTGTTCCAACAACAACAACAAGTTGTTATATTACTGAACTCTAGAGTGATTTAGACGTGCATACAACAGTCATTTTAGTGTCATCATCCTTAATCTGAGTCTCCAACAATATCAGCCGTTATTTTGTGAAGCGTTCGTAGATAATGTGAGAAACTCATCCACAATACCTGTTGAGCTAATTGTTCAGTCTTTTTCCGTGTCTAAAACTTTCTTATGCGGCCGATGACGGCAGTTTAATCGCAGTAGGTCTGGGTGATAACATTTGATCTCATTCTTCTGCGTTCTCATTGAACAGGGCGGTTGGTGCGTTGTGTTGTGGTTTACAGCTAGCCGCGATGCCGGCCTGTTTCGACATCCAGGGTCATCAGACACCTAATCAGTAGCCTCTTACATCATGCATGCTACGAGGTCAGGGAGTCTACTTGTTTGTCTTTCCAAATTAAACCTATTTAGAGTATTTAATTAAAGGTGAACATTAGATCTTTGATTGAAGTGTTCATTCGGAGCGCTGCTACACCTGGATCAACTGGCTGTAGTGAGTCCAATACTGGAGAAAAATATTGGCAGTTCAGGAGCCCAAACCATTCGTATGTGAGGTGGAGGACAGAGAAACTTTATATATTTATTCAACTGATTCATTCATTCGATAGGGTGCCGTCTCCACAGCGAAGGTTTGGCTGCAATAAATAATATTCACTCTCTATTCCTCGACTTGATTGCTGTTCGTCTATCTTTGAAGATACACTTCTATAGTGTCTGCCTCTTGGTCTTGCCTTAGACTTTTCATTCTAGCATTGTTTTTGAAACGATGGTGTGTTTATTGTACTGATTATGCCAGCTTTGGTAGAAGAATGGGGTTGACTACCAAATAGAATACGCCCTAAGACCAACAACAACATCGAAATATTGTACCCACCTCCATGTTCTTGTCTAGTTTGACAATAAAGAACTGCCTTTCTGTGTCAACATCAGAGGAAACATACTTGGGATCTTCAGAAGCAGAGGGAGTCGCCGGGCTGACTCTAATGGAAGTTGTGTTGACCGTGAGCTCGGCCACGTGGAGAGTGATGTTGTCAGTTGCTTTGTCACACCTGACCAGGATCTTCACACTGCCCTGTGGGAGATCATTTTTACATGATTACAAGGTGAAACATCTTAAGAGTACCCTGAACCAAGGAAACACATCGACATCCTACACGATGCTAAAATCGAAGAAAACAGGCTCATAAACAGCATCCTGTCCTGAAGGCAGAAGTCACCACGTGAGTTCGGGGGCAGCATTCTGTCTGAATGATGAACAGACCCACTGCCTCCCTGACAAGCATGATGATGGCAAGAAGTGTCGCATTTCAGTGGTTAAATCTGGTACAACTGCAGATAGGAACTTTACGAACACACATAAAAGTGTACATATTGTGTCTGGTTTTAGCTCCACGTGTTTTAAAAATGAATAGTTATTCAATTAGTAATGTGGTATTGGCGGCCGCAGATACTTCCCAGAAACTTTCCTAGTATTAATTTAATCAACAATTTCTACTTTTGCCGTGAGGCAACGAGGGTAGGGACAGTTCGCGACCAATTGCCTAATGGATATCAGTGGCTATTGTCATTCCGAGTCGATGTCAACAGGTCATCAAACCATTTTCTCCTAGGCGACCTCTTGATTTCAGATCTGATCTTCGCATGTGCCGGTCTTATATTGGTAGTTGTGGCTGCAGCTCTAACGAGATGACCAAACCATTCATATTCTGTTTCTGAGTGAATTTGGCACATTTTGTTGCTCTCACAGTCTGTCTGACAGCCACACTTCTCAACTGGTCTTAGGCGGTTACATTAGCAGCTGTCTTCAGGCATTTCCTTCCACAGGTGTTAGTTTTACGGAAATTAGTGTTTGACAATGTCCAAGTTTGGCACTGGTAGCACAGTGGGGTATGAATATGCGGTTTATAATCTGTTTCTCTGAGGTCATACTTATGTTTAGTTGTAATAACGGCTTGTACAGTGACTTGACATCATTTATGGTAATTAATTAAGTGTTTGTGGAAATTCATATATGTTTTAACAAGACACTCTTGTCCGATACCGGAATTAAGTGGTAACGTCTGCAAAATCGCGGTCTTACCTTGAAGGTGAACTCTCTCGGGTCAGGGTCGTGCATGTAGGGCTGCAACTCTACGGTATAATGCAGAGGTACCACCGATGTTGGCAAGCGAAAGCTGGTGGCTGCAGGTGGCGTAGATGTTGTCGTTGTTAAGGAGACAGATGTTGCTCCGGTTGTAGTTGTGGTTGTTTCTGCAGGACATGCGTTACCTGATGACGCAAGAGATGACTGTCACATACTTCAGGTATCAGAGATGCTGGGACTCAACATGTACAACTACCCCTGCATCGATACCCAGACGGGTATCGTAAGACAGATTCTTTCAAGAAGAAGTAAAACTTCCTTTCCTAAGCAATGGTACACCATATTGTACACTACAGTGATGCATTATTCTAAACCACTGTACATCAAACTAGCCAGGGTTCCGATAGTTAGAGCTCTTTTAACTTTTTCTTCAGAGCAGGCAGGGGTATTAGGAAGTGAACAGGCAGACAAACTGGCTGGTTCTGCACCGAAGGTTGGTGAATGTATGCACCACAAGCTACATGTGATCAAGACCCTTTGGGAGCCAGGGAACAATGCACGAATCAATCATTGTGGTCTCGAGAGAGGGGTACAGTTATGAGTGTCTATATGATCTGATCGACACTCTACTCTCAAATGAAAAGCAAGAAGGACATATAATGAAACTGCTACTGGCAGTGGCTGCAGAAGATCAGTACTAAGCGCTTATGGAAATGCCCTACGTGCTGTGATTGTTAGTTCTTAGAACGATTGTACATCATACAATATGACTATACATCATACTGTACGATTGTACATGATACTGTACGATTGTAAAAGCATTTGTCTCCTTCTTCGCGTTCACCAGCTGTAAACTGCTGTGGACAATGTGGCTGCCCATCACTTTCCTTATTTGAATGCAAACTATTGGTTCCTCATGTCTCAGGCAGATGCACTCTGACATCCACACAAGCAGCAACTCCTTGTTTTGACATAATTTCCATAGCAACAGCTAACGGGAATAACGAGTAGGTTTTGAAGGAGAGGGGAGAGCAAATGAGAAGAAGTAACGACGAAAAGAAACTTACATATTTTGGGGTCCCCTTTATTCGACAGCTCAATGCACTTCTCTTGAATTTCTTGGGGTGTATAGTTATCGGCGACTGCTCCAGATGACTGGCAGCTACAGACCAGGTCACGGCTTCCTCCAGCGAAGAACACAATCAGCCCGACTCCTACAGCGATGAGAACGGCCAGAAGCATCAGGACGAAGCCAACAGGCAGGTTTATGTAACAGCCGCCAGTCTTCTGCTTCTGCTTCTTGGCATTACCTGTGTTAGCTGGATCTTCATTGTCATTTGGAATGTCAAAACTGTCGTGGGCCATGAGGAATCTTTGATAAGCTCTAAGGATGTGGCGCGTTTAGAATGTATGTAGATCTCTGAGGTTCAGAAGAAACTATTATCGTTAGCTGCAATATAACCTGCAGGGTTACCCTGCATTAACGATAAGTCAAATGTATAAAGTCAATGCTGTGCCTAATAGCAGGGATCAACATGAATGAAGCATTTTTCTTTAAGATCAGAAATAAAAGCTGGTGTACCAAAGAACTCTGAATAAAGCATCTGGTCGAGGTGGAGTAAACACGGAAGCTGTTCAAGCTTGTGGTCAACCTGGCATTAAATGGCTAATATGAATTTTCAGTACAGAATGGGGAGAAAGTTCCACTTGACTGGTGGCAGTCATGATAGTACAATGTGGAAAATGACGGGTAATACAACAAACTGTGCCTCGTACAGAAATATATCCCTCGTGTGAGCTAAATAGGAAAAACTTATGCAAAGTTTTAGAACATAGAGTTAAGCCAAGAGCTAAATAGCAGCTAAGTACACCACAATCTGGTTTCGGGAAAGGAAAAGGTTGGACAAGTGCATTGTTTGTACTAAGACAAGTTTGCAAGAAAACCATTAAACACAACGATGAGCTAAACAGTATGTTTGTAGATCAAGAAAAGGCTTTTGAATGAGTAGATAGAAACAAATGATGGGCCATTCTTAAGGACGCTGGGATAAAGGGCAGGTATTATATAACATCATGGTCATGTAGCACACCTCCCAAAGTGTAGTGAGAACACAACAGGGCATCTGATGTAAGTAAAAAGTAAAGGACCCTTTCCACGCCTTTATGCGTATAGGGCATATAGGGCTAGACCTATATTTTTATAGACCAACGGCACAAGATGGGTGATGTGGTCAGCATCACGCCGGCATCTGATGTATTTACAGCCAATGAGAAGCCAGGCCAGGATGTGTGCTCTCTCCTCTTTTATTTACTCTATACGTAATATCAAAAGAAGCCAGTTTTAAAGCAGTAGACCCAGAAAATCCAGAAATTGAGGAACTTTACTTTCCAGAGAAACAGTTAGATCCTCACACAATAAACCAGCTACTATTTCCAGACGTTCAGTGCCCTTTATTAAAAATGGGAAAGGAAGGGAGGGGTTGGGGTAAACTACGAGAGCATTCGAACCAGCTAAGCTCAACATACAGAAGCTATAACATAACAATAAATACTAGTAATGCTGAAGTAATGAAGGTCAGCAGAATTCCTAGTCCGCTACACATCCGGTTGAATGGACTCGTCTGAAGAAGTTAGAGAATTAAATATCTAGGAAGTATATTTTCTGAGGAGGGGAGAATAGTTCGGGAAATATAAACAAGATGCCAACGAACGACCCAGTTCATTTGTATCCAACTGACACTGTTTTTAAGACACCCAAGCACAAGTATGAGCGCCACAAACAGATTATAAACAGCATATTCATACCGTTACTGTGCTAGCAGTGCCAGACTTGGACATCTTTAAAGGCTAACCTGTGAAATCAGATGCCTGAGACATGCCTCTAGTTTAACTATCTGAGACAAAATGAGAAATGATACTGTAGTCCGTGCCAAAAGTGGTGCACACATTTTAAAAATCTGTAAATCAGTCACAGTTCGGCATAAAATATAGAAATTTAGCATACAGTTTGTTAATTGTAGGGAAATAATTATAATGTCAACACAAATTTAGTTCTCATTTTGTCTTTTTTGTGTGCGTGTGTGTGTGTGCGGTATATGAAAAAAAAAGTACATAAGCCTATTCAATGCACACAATTAGTATGTTTACAGTTAACGGAGTGGTTCGAACTGCGTAAGATATCAAACTGCCAATTTTTGTTTTAAATGTGAAAGGCGCACTTATTCTGAATATTGAACTGGATACGTCAAGTACTGTCATAATCTCATATAAGTAACTGTAATTCACTTCATGGGTATTTCACTTTTAGGTGGTGAGTCTCCTGCATTAGCCTCCTGTAAGTTTCACGAACATAATATTTCATTACACACATGGTAGGCTATCACAATCATCACCAATCATCGCCGCACATGCGAAATGATTTCCAAAACAATCTCCACGCTTCTGGTTTAAAGTAAACGATTTCTATCAAATATTGTATTTTTTTTTTTTTAACTTTCATTTTTATATATAACTAAATTATTAGTTAGACCCAAAAAAAAGTAATTTGCAGCTCTGAGACAACCGTAGCACCTTTGCAACTATAAATTATAAAATCTTAAGGACATGAGAAATCTAAGACCATGTGCAAAAATTGGTGTATCTCTTAAAAGCGTTTACGAGATATTTGTTGAGCCTGAGGGCAAAACTGTTGTAACGTACTATAGCAGACTGACTATGGGAACAATGTCACGCACAATATTCGTTAAAAAACAGAAGATCGGTTGGTTTGGTCATTTCGTTAGAATGCAGCTGAAACAACTACCAAGACAGGCGTTACACGTGAAAATCTGTTTTGTGAAATCAGAAATTGGCTTAAAGTTCCTATGGATACATTAAATTAAAGAGCTTTTACATCGGCAAGCATTGATAATAAGTAATTCTGCCCATCAGGCAATGGATTAAAAACGGTCCATTCCCGCGTAGCTTAAGGACAGAACTGGAAATTGATG